AAAATTGGCACGACCAGGCCTGGCATGCCTCGCAAGCTGCCAGAAACACCGCTAACTCCTCGAACGCCGTGTCGGGGAGCCGATCGGTGTCCGGCGCTGTGAGACGGTCGGCCCCCACGGCTGCCGTCTGCTTCGCCCTTCTGCCCGCCGCGCGCAGCTGCTCGCCTGACAGGGGCTGGATGGGGCTCCTCAGCAACACGCGCACGAATGTCATCGAAGAGCGACTGAAGCCCCTCCAACTGCTGGCCCTCGGGGGCCCACAACTCCTGAAACTTCTGGCTCTTCCTACCCATGATGTCCCTCGGGTGATGGATGGTCCTGTCATCCTCCACGAGTGAATGAGGTACCTGCGGCGCCTCACGAATCGCCCTGTGAAGTGTGGACACTGCACTCTGAGACTCCGTCCATTCCCGGAACTCTGCCAAGGACTGGCCAACTGCCCGTGTCTGACTCCTCTGGGATATACGTTCACTGAACCTGACTGTTCCTGCAAGTTTCTGCGCGCTCAAATCAACTGCTGACAAGAGCTGCAGCCAAGGAGCCCACAAGATGCCGTCGTTCGGCTTGATGACCTGATGGCCCTGCTCTGGATCCTCCTCGGCCAATCTTTTACACGTCGAAAGTAGCAACTTCTGCTGCTTCGTGCCATTGCCCCTGGCGCGATGCTTGGCATGCGTATCCACGACCACATGCACTCGGGTCCACCATCCACTGATGCGATCCCTCAAGGGAGCGACTCTGGAGGGGGTGGCCTCCAGGACTGTGCCCGTACGAAACGTGGGTCCCTCCGCGCGAGATCGCCCAAGGTTGGCCTGGCCATGATGAGATGCAAACCTGGCCTCGACTGTGCGAATCCACGGACTGAGAAAACTGCTGATACTATCACAATGTTTTGAACCAAGGGAATGGGCTACGAAACAGACAACAGCCTCCGCAGGAGGATACATGCCAGATGAAATGAATCCGATGCTTTTCCTCTCCGAACACCTAGTGGCCTCGGCAATTCTGAAATCGCCGCTGGATTTTAAACTCCCCTCCGACCCTGCGGGCGATGGCTCGTGAGACTTGTGGTGAGACTGTTGCGCGGGGCTACCACCTGGGGGGGTTCCACGCTGGGCTGCATTGCTCATTGACTGTGAGAGTGTCAGAGCAAAAGCGGCATCGGGCGGGGCGGGGTCGGGTCCGAAATTGGGCTCGAAGGCCCGCGGGTCCTCCTCCTCGTCAGGATCGAGCCCGTCGGCTCCGATCGACTCGCCGATACCTGTCTCGGCGTCGCTGAGGGGAACCTGCGGACCACTCCCCCCCCCCCCCTTCGACGCTACCGACACACTCAAAAAGAAACCATTCACGAATTCGTTCATGACCTTTCTGCCTCGCCAACTGCCGTGCCAGGCTACGCTCCACCTTAGCTCTACTTGACTTGGGGCCTTCCACGGGCTGCCTGGCTGGACGGGGCGCCGATGGGAGCTGGGGTGGTAAATCTAAAAACCTAGTGTACAACTGACTACCTTCCGACACGAGTTCGAGGCTGAGACCGATGCGGGGCTTCCAGGGAACATCCAAGACGGCCCTGTGCCCCAATAAATAAGGCCTCGCAGCCTCAGAACACAAAACGAAATCTAAATGCGAAGGCCGATTTTCACCTGGCGCGCACGTGAACTCAGCCTCAGATGCGACGATAGTGCCTGCAACTGGTTCCACGAACCCCGTAGCGCGTAACTGCCGAGGCGACATGTTCCAATCACCAATTGCAATCCACGGTAAGTGAAGCGATGCAAGCAAACTGCCGATGCGACGGAATCTGGAGACGCTGTCGCAACTGAAACCGATCCCTGAGTACGCGTGCACGACGCACACGATGATGGAGAAATCTCGCATATGAAGCAGAACGGGCAGGAAACCATCGAAGGCTGCACATCGATCGTGACGAAGTGCGGGTGAATTTCGAGCAGCGTCAAGAACCTGCGCAGGGCGATGATTACGAACCAACATCCACTCACCTCCTTCATTCGCTCGAGCCTCTTGCCCAGGATGCGCCTGCTTCCATCTGCTCTTGTGCCTGGCGCTATTGGCCAGCAACTTCAACTTTGCCCCTCGTGCCTTCGCTGTCCACTTGCCAAGGTCACGCTGGTGTACATGTGTTTCGCATGCTGTGGCATAGTCGTGTAAACTCGATGTATGACAAAGGTGCTCCCATGCGTTGCCCCCCATGCACGTACTATTTCCAAAGAACTGTCTGGCCGACTTCGTCGCAGACGACGTTGTTGCCGCAGTACAGGTGGTACTGCTGCGCCCCGATGTTGAAATGGAAACACCAGTGCCAGACGCTACCCCTCTCGGGGCTGTCACAGCTCCTAGTCACAGATCCTCGCCATCCACATCGGGAACCTTGACGCCGTCGCCCTTTGCGCCGCCCCTGCCACGCTCCACGGCCTGCGCAGCGTCGAAACTGGCCTTGGAGATGGCGGCTGCGGCCTGCTTGACCTGCTCCTCCGAAGGCGTTGGGGCCGTGCCAGCGGCCCCCGTGGGTGCGACAGCCGCGTGCGATGGAATCGCAGCTGCGGCCACAGCTGCAGCGCTGGGGGGCGCCGCGGCCTCCCCCTCGGGGCCTCTAACTGCCGCGGCATGAGGTGCGCCCACACCTCCGTCGCCTGCGGCTGCTCCCTCGCCCTCTCCTGATGTGCGCCTCTTCTTGTTCATGCGCTCGATGACCTCCTTCTCGAACTTGTCGACCTTCTCGAGGAAAGCACGTGCTTGGACGTCCTTGGCCTCGAAGGCCGAACGATACTGGTCCAACTCCTTCTTTAACCCTCTCAGCCGAACCTTATCCGACTCATCGCACCCCCAGCTCTCGAACTTGTCGAACATTCAATGTTGATGCGCAGCTCGACGGCAAGCACTGATCAATCCGCGGTGGAACCGGCCTGCGGAGCCTGCACCCCCTCGGCCTTTGCCAAAGCCTCGGCCGCTCGCTTCTTGTGGATCTCCGCGTGCGCCATGTCCTCTGCTGCCTTCTGCCCCTTGCCCTCTGCCACTTGCAGCTGCTTCCTCAGGCGGAGGACCTGTGTCACCGTCTGCTCGTGGCGGTGCGACGCCGCGCGCCAGGTTCCATCAGCCTTGCGCACCGTTTCAGTTTCAGAAACGGGCTCCTCCTGCTGCACCTTGAGCTGCAGGCGCTCCTGCTGGGCTGCCAGCGCCGTCTTCAGCACCGAATCGTCCGACGCCGCCGCGGCCTCCTGCAACAACGCCTGCACCGTGGCGTACTGCTTGGCCTTGGAGACGTTCTCGCTCTTGCCACCGCGCTTTGGGCTACGAGGTCGGCCTCCGCAAGCTTGGCCTCGCCCCGCTGCGGTGCCATCGTCCTGCAACTCGATATTCTCCACGTGCTCGTCAGAGGTAACGCTAGGCGTCCTCGGCACATAGAGACGTATCTTTTTGCTGCATGTCGGGCATCTGCCCCCAGATGAGGACAGCCTGTCATTGTACTCACATGCCTTGCAGTGTGCACGCCTGCTCCACAGTCGAGAGGGCCTCCCCCGACTGTTGCTGCTGGCGGGGCGCGCCCCATCTGTTGTCATCCCTGCTTTCGTTAGCCTAACGAGTGTGGGCAAAACTCGCGAGGCTATCCCTCAAGCACCCCGATGGAGGTACAGGGATCGGGCCCTGGCAAAATGCTCGGGCCCAATTGGCTTGAGGGAGGAGGGGCAGGAGGAGGAGGAGGAGGAGCAGGAGGAGGCGGAGGAGGAGCAGGAGGAGGAGGAGGAGCAGGAGGAGGAGCAGGAGGAGGAGCAGGAGGCGGAGGAGGAGCAGGAGGAGGAGCAGGAGGAGGATGAGGAGGAGGAGGAGGAGAAGGAGGAGAAAGAGGAGCAGAAGGAGGAGGAAAGCCAGACGATACCACGGCGGCTCCCGACCCCAAGCCCGCTCCAGAAAACTCGGAGTCCCGGGCCCGCCATGCGGGCCCTTGCTGTCGGGGGGGGGGGGCCCAACGGCGGGGCAGGGGCCAAAGGCGGGGCGAGAGGGGGCAGCTCGCTCCCAGCGGCCCCTGGAAGAAGGAAACGCGCTGGCTTGCCATCGCTCGGACGTCCAATTCCCCGTGCATGTTTCGGTCTCGTGCGTGCTCTTCTGCCTCGAGGGTCAAGAATGCTGCTCGATGGCTGCCGCCGAGGCAAAATGCGCACGTCCGAGCGATGCCAAGGACAAAGGTGGGGCAAGGGCAGAGACGGGGCGAGAGGGAAGCTCGCTCCAAGCGGCCCCCGGAAGAAGGAAACGCGTTGAGCGCGAGTATCCAGCTGGGCCCACTCCCCAGCCCCACCTTGGGATGACCCGCCCTCTACGACCCCCCGATCTGTGCTGTTTTTTTGTGTTTTTGTGTTTTCTTTTTTTTGTGTTTGTTTGTTGTTTTTGTTGTTTTTGTGACCCCATCTCGTCGTGGCGGATCTGGCCGCGGCGACGCGAAGCCGCCCGGAGGCACCGAGAAGGCTAGAAAGTCGCCAGGGGGGCCCGCCAGGTCTCGACTGCGGCCATCCTCCCGATGATGCCCCTCCTGCTGCTGCGGTTGCTGCTGCTCGTGCCCCCCCTGTTGGAAGAGTTCGGCGCAACTTCCGCGAAATTCCACGAATTCCAAGAGCCCGCCACGTGGAACATGTCCGTAATGATGTCTCTGCGGAAACGAACTGGCATTCGTAGTCCTTCCCTGGCACAGAACACATGGTTTCGGGCATCCTGTTCTTGTGGGATTCGAGCCACCTGCCTGCGTATCCCTCCGCAACCGTTATGCGCAGTAGGCCAACCCTGAGACCCCCCCAGGACGTCCACTGATGTTTGATGTGGGGACGTCACGCTCTCCAGAGCAAAACAATCAAAACCCAAGAAACCCAGGGCACCCTGGAGGCAAGCAGGGTGTTCCTTGGCATGGGCCTCCACTGTCTGCGATGTTGTTCCTCCTGCTCCTCCAAGCTCTTCCTCCGCGAGCTCCGCAGACGCCGGCCCGAGGGCTTCGCAGGATGCGGACGAGCGTGAGGCTCAAGATGACGACCAGCCAATTCTGCAACGCGACGTCGCACGTCTCCTCCCGTTCCCAAGGCTAGACGCCCCCTCTCGGCCCTGCCCCCCTCTGCGCGTGGCCGACCCTTGCATCATGAGAAAATCACGGCGGACGGATCTTGCATATTTTCCGCCTCCTGGGGTCCCCGCTGGGACCAAGGGCCGTCCACAGCACTAATCGGGATGAACAGCGGATCGAGACCACTCTGGGGCTAGACGTTGAAACATAATCATGACGACGGGGTTTGGGATCAAAGATCGGGACCTTGGAAACGAATCGAATAACCGGATCGAACGAATCAATCCCCGCCTTGGGGAAAAGGAATCGCCAACGGAAGTGCATAGCCACTCGGATCGACCGATGCCGCGCGAAACGTCGGTACGCGATACTGACCCAATCAAACCGTGGGCAACCCCGTACAAGGATTTGTGCTGAAACTGCATCAGCGCCCGCCGCCCCTCCAGCGAGAACGTCTCAAACAAATGATACCTATACCACCACCCTTTCGGGTGAGAAGGAGGTTGGGGGAGGGGAACGAACCAATTGCTGGCAACTGCGACGGGTGTGATGATGACGATTCTGGTGGCGCGCCCTCGAATGGGCGAAGACGCGTGATGACCCGCGGGACACCATCGGGACACAGCGGGACACCACGGAACGCCAAGGGACACCAAAAGAAACCATCGGGACACCACGGCGGGACACCGCAAGACACCATCGGGACAACACGGGGCACCACGCCGGGACACCCGCAACCACCACGCGCCCTCCAGGAGGCCAGACTTTTGCATGCGGGATTCCTCCTCTCGCGCGCCCAGGGCGAGACACCACGGCGGCACACTCCCCAGCCACCGTACGCCCACCCGAGGGCCGGACTTTTGCATCCTTCACCTCGCGCGCCCACGCAGCTTCGCCTCACCCGCACGCGCGAGATGAGCACGAAGCCCCAACCGACTTCCCTGTGGGGGGCTCTCCGTTCCACTGCGATCTCAGCCCCCCAACCTCCGATCATCCACTCCCTCCTCCCACTCCCAATCTTCTCCCCCCCCTCGGGGGGCCGCAGCGCCCTCCCGAGGAGGACGAGGAGGAGGAGGATGGTGGGTGGGCGCAGCTTCCACGACGCCCCTGGCCCCCATGAGCAGGCTCACGAGGTCCAGGGCGCCAGAAGTCGAGGGACGGGCGGTTAACCTATACACCGCCAGGTGCAGACGGGCCGCGCGCCGCGCGCGCCCGCTCCGGCGACGCCAGAGGCGTGTCCGCCCTCTCCTCGCCACCGCCAGCTCTCACCGCGCTTAGGAGGTAGGCGACCTTCTGGGCTAAGGTGCGCTCGCCTGCCACCGAGGCCGTGGGGCCTTCCTCCCGCTGTGCCACGGGCCCGGCGGCGGGCCTGCGAGCCGCCGGGAACTTGACCACTTCGGGTTCCCGCACTGGGCCTGCCGGGCCGGCGGCCTCGGGCGCGCCCGCGGCAGGCTCGGCGGGGGGCCCAGACCCGCGCCAACGGGGAGGGCCGCGTTGGCGCGCCGGCGGGCGTCGAGCCGCGTCGAGCCGCTGCGCAGCCGGGGCGGTGTCGTCGACGGCGGTGGCGGCGCCGGAGCCCTCGGCGGCTCCCTCGAGCCTCCAGCGGCGCGCAACAGCCCCCGGCGACTCGGGCGGGGCCCGAGAGTCAGCCCCAGCGGCAGCGCTGCCCCCAGCGGCAGCGCGGCCAGCGGCCCCCGGGGAGGTGGGAAGACGGAGCCCCGGGCCGTCATCCCACCGGGCGGCGCCCCCAGCAGGGCCGTCTCCAGCGACCCCAGCAGCCGCGCCGCAGGCGGCCCCCGCGAGGGAGGCAGGCGAGCCCTCCGGGCCGACTCCGGCGGCGCCCTGCAGCAGCAGCGCGGCCAGCGGCTCCGGCGGGCCCGGCGCGGCGGCAGTGGTGGAGGTACTTAGGATTCTCTAAATACCTCCCCTTTGGGCCTCCCGGGCCGGCGGCCTCGGGGGGCCGAGAGGCGCCGCGTTGGCGCGCCGGCGGGCGTCGAGCCGCGTCGAGCCGCTGCGCAGCCGGCGCCGACTGCCCGCGGGCGGGCCCGGCGGCGGGCCCGCGAGGCGCCGGGGACTTGACCACTTCGGGTTCCCGCTCTGGACCTGCTGGGCCACCGGCCTCGGGCGTCGCCGCGCAGTACGCCGCGACCGCACCCGAGAGCGGGGACGTGTGGTCGGGCAGCCAGAGGCGAGGACCGAGGGGACCGCCTGTCGCCTGCACGGTAACCTCAGTCTGGCTGCGGCGGCGCCTCTGGCCCACCAATGGCGCTGGTGCCGCCGCCGGGAGCTCCTGGGCCTGCCAGGCCCGCCCGGACCGCCCGCTGGGGGCGCGCGGGGTGGCCACCGTGGCCGCCGCGGTGGCGTTCTCCCCTTGCCCCGCCCCGGGGTCCGAGGACGCGCGCCGCCTCCGCCGAGCAGTCGGCTGGGGCCGGTCTGGCTCCCGAGCCTGCTTGCGGGAGGGGCGCTGGGCCGCCTGGAGCGCCTGGCCATGGAGGATGCCGATGACCGCCTCGAGCGGGTGCTCCATGGTGCCGGCCTCGGGGAGGTCCTCGGGGATCGCGGGGTCCGCGGGGGCCAGTCCGCCGCCGACCACGTGGGCGATCGTGGCGGAAATCGCCTTGGCCTCGATGACGGGCTTGGGCGGCCCCTGGTGCGACGGGTAGACGCCCTTGGCGATCCTCCTGAGGGCCTCGTCCGTCTTGCGGGTGGTCTCGCCCTTGCACTCGCCTCGCAGCCCCATGCCCATCGTGGTGCCGTGAGCCCCGCAGACGCCGCAGAAGTACAGGCTGTTGGCTGGCCACTCGTAGAGGCGGTGGGAGGCGTGAACCACGCCCGTCCCCATGGCGATCTGCATGCCGGCGGAGACTTTGCGGACGTGGTCGAACGAGGCCCAGTCCGCTTCCGTGGCGGTGCAAGCGGAAGCAGCCGCCTCATGAAGCGTAGCCGCGGGGAAGAGCTGCCGGCAAAGCAGGCGCTTCCACTTGCCCTGGCCCACGGTGACGAGCTGGTGCTGCGAGTCGTCGATGGCCCGTTGGAGGGCAGAGGGGCGGGCCACCTGCTCCGCCGCGGGCCTCTCCGATAGCCATGGGTCGCCGCCCGCCGCGTCGAGCAGGGCTTGGCGGGCCCGCCGCCTGACCTGCGAGGCGATGACGTCCCAGCGGTCCGCGTGAGGCGTGCTGCGGTCGGCTGAGGCTGCAGCCGCCCCGGCACCGAGGTTGGCGAGCCTGTCGGCGCAGCAGTTGCCCGCTGCGAGGAAATGGGAGACCATCGGTTCCCCTTCGTCCTCCTGGTGGGACGGCGTCCAGGTGACGCCCACCTGGCGGTACGGGTGGGCCTGGAGCGACCTGCCGATGCGGGCCCAGAGGTCGCTGTTGGCGCCCTTGCCGAGGTTGAGCCAGCGCTGGGCGTTCCACCCGTTGAGGAGCGGCATGTTGTCGGTGACGTAGTGGATGTCGGCATCCAGCTGCTCGAGGGCGAGGACGAAGGCGAAAATCTCCCCGCGCGGGACCGTCTGCCGCCGCCCAGGGAGAGTCGCGATCGCGCCGGCTGCCAACCGCCATCGCGGGCCGCAAACCTCGATGACCGCGAGTCCGACGCCAACACGACGCCTTCGCTCGTCCGTGCCGTGCTTTCCCCCCGAGGCGTCGCCGAATATCGTGACGGGCTGGCTGCCGCCTGTGGGCCATGGGGCCCCAACGTGGACGAGGAGCTCGTCGTCGCAGGTCGGCGCCGGCGGAGTGGCGTGGCTGGCAGGGTTGACGCCCCTGAGCCAGAGGGCGGGGCACTCCTCGATGCCGCTGAGCGCCTGGGGGATGAGGTGGGCCGTCTGGTCGTAGGCGGGCTTCCCCTGGTTACAGGGACAGCGCCAAATGCGGTGCTCGAGGGTCTCCTCCTCGCCGAAGCATCGCTGGCAGACTGCGTCGCCCTGGTATCCTGCGGCAATCTGCCGCTGCCGTGGCCATTGCCCCCCAACCGCGACGAGGTAGTTGAGGGCCCACTCCTGCCAGTGGCCGTGCTTGGCGCAGTGGTCGAGCTCACGCTTGACCTGGGAGACGTCGCCAACCTGGCCCAGGCCCGCGCCGTGGGCGTGCTGGCTGGCCCGCTGCCAGCGGAGGCGGTCGAGGTCCACAGCGAGGTCGTCCAGCAGCTCCGAGAACTCGTGGAAGTCCACCTGGAGCTGGCCGTGGTGGTCAGCGAGCGGGATTTTCCACTCCTCGTCGCCCTGCGCAGTGGGGCGCGACCAGGAGTGGGGTGACGAGGGCCGCCAGCCTGCGTCCATGAGCGTGGCGATGACCGCCGCAACAGGCCCATGGACTTTGCGCCATCTCCCCGTCCTGGCTCTGAGGAGCCTGTGGTGCACGTGGGGCCAGATGCGCAGGACGCGCTTGTGCAACTCTGGCCGGACGAGCCACTGCGTGAGCCACTCGTGCACGAGCTGGGTGCGCAGCTTGATGACGGGGTCCTTGTCACCGTAGAGCAGGGCCATGGCTGTGTCGAGGCATCGCCCAGGGCCCGCCCCCGCAGCCGCCGCCGCTGCGGAGCGCCTGAGCTGGGTAAGCCTGGAGGGCGCGATGCCCCAGACCTCGTGTCCGAAAACCGCCTGCGGCTGCACGCCAGTGGTATGGAGACTGGCGCCGAGCTTGCCAAGCCGCGCCGCCGCGCGACGAAGGCGCTGGACCCGCTTGGCACGCAGGGCCGCGCGCCTGTGCCTGGTATGGGCCCTGCGCTGGGACCTCCTGTTGCCCGTGACGACGTCGACCCCGAGGTCGACCACGTGGTGGGCCCCGTGGCCTGGGACTCCGTGCTGCCTCATGCGCCTGCCGATGTCCTTGCGAAGGGCGGCCGAGGATGCAACGAGCGTGGTCTTGGGGGAGACCGCGAGGCGGCTGTCGCTGCACTGCTGGGCCAGGGCCGCGCCGGCAACAGCGAGGGAGTCCGTGACGACCGCCTTGGTGCCCTCCGCGCGCCAGACGGTGTCGTCGATGTACGACCAGATAGTGGTGGCCTGGGCCTGGGCCTGGGCAGCCTGCAGGATGGGGCACAGGAAGATCTTGCCGAACCTGGTGCCGTTGGTGGAGCCCGCGACGATGGACTGGCTGGCGAAGATCGGGGGGCCGACCCATGCCCCTCGCTTCAGGTAGCGCGGCGCCAGGAATGCCTCGACCTCCAGGGCCAGGACCGTGGGGGAGAAGCCGAGGTCGACCGCGCGCTCGATGAGCCAAGCGAGGTCCAGCGAGTCGAAGAACTTCGCGATGTCGGCGTACAGCGAGGCGTGGTGGATGCCCATGCCCTGGGCCGTCTCGTCAAGAGTGGCTCGGTAGAGGGCCGCGCGCAGGGCGGACGACCCCTTGATGGCCGTGTCCCAGTGGTCCTCCAGGCCCTGGGTCCACTGGTCGACGATGCCACTGCGCGCGCGAGCCCAGATGCGTACTGGCATGGGGAGCAGGCCGAGAACCCGGTCACCTCCCGCAGGCTTGCCCGCTACCGCTCCCAGGGTGCCGTTGAGCTGCGGCGGCCACATGCAGTGCGCCTCAGCCTGGTGGAGGACGGCCAAGAACTGCTCCTTGGCGCAGTCGGGGAGGCGCTCGACGTCCAGCGAACTGAGCCTGTCGACGCCCTGGGCCTTTCGGGGACCCAGCTTGCCAGTGGCCGCGTTGAGGCCGTCCACCGTGATGGGCTCGAGGGTCTCCTGTGCCGCGAGAACACGGAGCGAGGCCAGAGCTACCGGTATGGCCTTCGTGCGGTCGGCGGGGGCGGTCCAGACCTTCTGCCATGTGGTGGACTTGGCCAGCATGACCTCGACGGGGTCCGCCAGGGTCCCGCCTTCGGTGGGGTCTTCGAGCCGCTCCAAGTCACCGTCCTTGGTCCAGCGGTGGAGCTGGCCCAGCGTGGCCTTGGCCGCCCAGGTCGCAAAGGCTTGGCGCCCGTGCTGGAGGGCCCTTCGTGCGGCGTCGCCAGCGAGGTCGAGGGCGAGCTGCCTGGCGGCCGCCTGCTCCTGACGGGGCAGGTCGAGGATCACCGTGGCCCTGCGCTGGTAGTCCGCCAGCTGGTCCGTGCGCTTGGTGGCCGAGAGCTTGCCGATGTCCGCGAGGGTGCTGCGGTGCAAGTCGAGGCGCCACAGCAGCTGTCGGTGGTCCTTGCCGCTGGCAGCCAGCGCGAGGATGGCCGCGAGGTTGGCGCTGTGGGTGGCCCAGGCGTCCGCCTCAGGATGGTGGAGGTGGGCCCTGCCTGGGCTAGCCGCCGTCTGCCTCCAGGTGACGCCAAAACCGCGCGCCCTGCCCTGGCGGGCGGCCCAGTTCGCCTTGTCGCAGCCCTCGTGCTGGAGGATGGCGGCCTCGACCTGGGTGACCCAGCTGCCGTAGAGCTCCGCAAGGGCGCGGGCCTGGTCCTCGCGCTTGTCGAGGAAAGGGTGGCAGAGCAGGTCGGAGTGAACCTGCACAGCGCTGTGCCGGCAGGGTGCGGCACCGAGCCAGGTGTCCAGCGGGACGAGGAACGGGGCAGCTGGGGTGTCGCCTGGGGCCTGCCCTTGCGACGGCGACGGCGCCGTGGGCTGGCTGGCGAACCCGTGGGGCGTGCCCTGGGTCGGCGGATCCTGCCCCCGCTGCTGGCCGTCTTCCTGCCGCTCGATGGCGCCGCCAGCGACGCCGGCCCCGGCCGTGCCAGCAGCAATTCTGAGCGCGCAGCCAGGGGCGCTCAGAATTCCAGGAGAGGCCCCTGGCCGCCCGCCATCGGCGCCGGGTGCGCCCCCAGCCGTGCCGGCAGCCTTTCTGAGCGCACAGCCAGGGGCGCTCAGAATTCCAGGAGAGGCCCCCGGCGGCCCGCCAGCGACGCCGCGTGCGCCCCCAGCCGTGCCGGCAGCAATTCTGAGCGCGCAGCCAGGGGCGCTCAGAATACCAGGTGAGGCCCCTGGCGGCCCGCCAGCGACGCCGGGTGCGCCCCCAGCCGTGCTGGCAGCAATTCTGAGCGCACAGTCAGGGGCGCTTAGAATTCCAGGAGAGGCCCCTGGCGCGCCCCTTTCAACAGGCGGGCTGACCTGCAACAAAACTGAAGAACTGGGAGGCCTGCTCGTGTAAATGCAGCCTCCCTGGGACGTCGAACAGCTCGGCCCCTCTCCACCAGCGAGGGCGCCCCTTTCATCAGGCGGGCCGACCTGTAAATGAACTGAAGAATCGGCAGGCCTGCTCGTGTAAGTGCAGCCTGCCTGGGACGCCGCACTGCTCGGCCCCTCTCCACCAGCGAGGGCGCCCCTTTCATCAGGCGGGCCGACCTGTGATAGAACTGAAGAGCCCATAGTAGTACAGAAGCCAGCCCCAGCGGCAGCGCGGCCAGCGGCAACCGAGGGAGTGGGAAGATGGAGCCCCGGGCCGTCTTCCCACTGGGCGGGGCCGTCTCCAGCGACCCCAGCAGCCGCGCCGCAGGCGGCCCCCGCGAGGGAGGCAGGCGGGCCCTCCGGGCCGACTCCGGCGGCGCCCCCAGCAGCAGCGCGGCCAGCGGCTCTGGCGGGCCCGGCGCGGCGGCAATGGTGGAGGTACTTAGGATTCTCTAAATACCTCCCCGTTGGGCCTGCCGGGCCGGCGGCCTCGGGCGCGCCCGCGGCAGGCTCGGCGGGGGGCCGAGAGGCGCCGCGTTGGCGCGCCGGCGGGCGTCGAGCCGCGTCGAGCCGCTGCAGAGCCGGCGCCGACAGCCCGCGGGCGGTCCCGGCGGCGGGCCCGCGAGGCGCCGGGGACTTGACCACTTCGGGTTCCCGCTCTGGGCCTGCCGGGCCACCGGCCACGGGCGGGTGCCCCTCGACAGCGTCGAAGAATTGCTCTTCGGCCAGGTCGTCGAAGGGGTCCCAGTCGCCCGAGAGGTTGGCGCGGGCGACGGCGCCGGTGTGGCGGGGGCTGCGTAGACCCGCAACCTCCGCGTGACCTTCCACCTGGGGCGAGGCCAGGCAGTCGTGGAACTGGTCGAGGTCGGCCTGGGCAGCAGGGAGGGAGCCGCCTCCATCCGCCGGGGGTGGGGCTGGCCGTGGGCTGGCGCCATGGCCCACGGGATCCTGGCGGGGGCTGGGCACGGCAGCAGTCGGCCCACTGGCTGGCGGGCCCTCCGCGCTGCTGTGGCAGAGGCCCAACCGCACCTCCTCGAAATCGGCGCCGAGCTCTGCCGGCAAGGCCGCCGCCCGCCGTTGGAGCGCGGCATGCCTCTGCCTGGACCTCTTGCTGTTGGGGTCCGCCGCCGCCTTGGCGCGCATGGTTGCCGGGAGGCTGCGCGGGACGTCCAGCGCCTGATACCACCATCTCTGGCGGGCGCCGTGGAGGGTGAGCTGAAGCCCGCAGTGCGTCGCCCACGGCACCTTCAGGAAGGCCTTCAGCGAGAACAAATGCTGGTGGCCGTCCTTGGCGAGGCCGTAGTCCAGCAGGCGGCCCTGCCCTTTGTCGCACGTGGTGGCGACGTCGGGGGCGATGACCGCGCCGCCCAGCTTGGCGACCCAGCCCGACTGGGCAAGCTGGTGCGGCTCGTGGTTCCAGTCGCCCAGGACGATCCACGGGGCCTTCTGCATCGCGAGGAACGCCCCCAGCGCGACGAGGGTGTCCCTGTTGCGCTTGCCGAAGCCGAGCGCAGGGTGCAAGTAGAGCGCCACCACAATGATGTTGCCCGCCGCCGTGTGCAGGACCATGGGGGCGAAGCCGCAGAGCGCAGCGCCCTTGGCGTCGCGCCAATGGTCGAAGGTGGTGGCCTGGAGGTGCGCGCGCACCGCCATGAGCTCGCCTCCTGTAACGCCGCCCTTGCCCGTGGAGACCCCAGGGGAGTACGTCGCCTTCCAGCCGTCCTTGCGGAACGCCTTGATGATGGACTTGGAGTGGTTCTCCGCGCGGTGCAGCTCGACGAAGGCGATGCCGTCGAAGCGCTTGGCGCGGTCGGACTGCAGAAAGCCCTTGGCCTGGGGGCCCCACTCCGTGATGTTGCCGTAGAGGACGGCAACGTCCTCCTGGCCCATGTTAGGTACGTTGCTGGCCTCCACTGGCGGCCGCGGGAGCAGCAGGAGCAGGAGGCCCGCCAGCCGCGCCTGCAGGCTGCCCAGCCAATGCCTCGCGGCCAAGGGCCTCCGCGTCGTCCCCTGCCGCACGGACGGCCTCCTTGGACAGCTGGGAGCCCTCGGTGTCGTCGACCTTGGCCCGCTTGGCGGCGAGCGTGGCCGCCTGGTGAGCCTCGGCGCAGCGCTTGGCCGCATTGCGGGCGTCCTCGTCGTCCTCGGGGACCTGATGGCCAAGGGACTCGAGGAAGGCGCGGCTGGAGGCGGCGGTGGCCCAGACCGTGACGGTGGGGACCTGGGCGACGGTTGGCGCCGGGGCCTCAGGCGGTGCCGGCGGGCCTCGGTCGCGCGCCGCCTTGGCCTCCGAGACCTTCTGGAGGAGGCGGTCCCTGGCCTCCTGGAACTGTTGGCTGATCTCGAGCGCGTCGGCGCCGTCGAGGCCCTCGTCGTAGAGATGGTCCTCGAGCTTCGCCACGACGTCCTCAAGGAGGGGGATGACCTCCGACTCCTTCCCGCCGTGGAATCGCTGCTTGCCGAGGTCAGCGAGGAGCACGCGGGCCGCCGCGAGGTCCTTGTCGTGCTTGGCCTGCTGCTCCTGCTGGAGGGCCAGCTTGACCTCGAGGTGCGCGATCTCGGCCTTGGTCGCCTCCACGTCTTTGCCGATCGCCGCAGAAAGGCCCTCCAAGCGCTTGACGTCGCGGTTGCAGGCGTGGTAGCGCTTGCCGAGGGGGAGCGTCTCCTGGCGCTTGGTGCGCAGCGCCTCGAGCTCCGTCTTCCAGCGCTGCACGTTGTCCTTCTCCGAGTCGCCCATGTGCTCGCCCGCCTGAATGAGAGCCGCCAGCTTCTTGATGCGCGCGAGGTCGTCGGCGTCCTCTGCTGGGGGCGCCGCCGCTGCCAGAGGCGGCGCTGCGTCTCCACCAGTCGCGGCCGCTGCGCCCTCGCGCCGAGCCTGCTCGAGGTCCTTGTCGTGCTTGGCCTGCAGCTGCTGACGGATTTTGACCTCCATGGCCTTATACTGCCAGGGCGCGAAATCGCCCGTGGGCCCAGCGGCGGTCGGCGGCGGGCTGTTGACCCGTGGTGCTGGCTTGCCGGGGGCGCCCGCGACAACCTCGCCAAAAGCGACCCCTTTGTGCAGCTTGCAGCCCGAACACACGAGGCTCCAGCCGCTGTTGCGGAGCCTCGCGCCCTTGGCCGTCTGGCAGGACTTGCACAGCCAGGGCTGCCGCTCCGTGGAAGCCCGTGCTGACGGGCGCGGCGGGGCTGCCTGGGCTGGACCGGTCCTCCTCCTTTCTGGGGCCATGCCGAAGCGCGCGGGCCCGCAGAAAACTTGGTAACAAAATTTTCACGCTCTGCCCAGCACCTCCCTTGGTGCTCAGAGCGCCTCGCAGAGACTTGCACCCGACGGGAGGGTGCCATGGCCTTGAGCCAAAATGGCTACGGACGAGGAGGAGGAGGAGGAGGAGGAGGAGGAGGTTTAGGTGGTTGTCCCCTCCTCCCGAGGAAAGGTCCCGAACTCCTCCGCATCGTCCCAGCCTCCTCGTGGACATACTCCGCCAGGCGTGGGACATCCCACTCCACCCGCAGCCCCCTCCTTGCGATGCTCCAGCCAGATGACCCAGCCCCAAATATCCGATGCCCCACGTTGGGGGACAGGCGGGGGGAGGCCGTCAATCGTCCTCTTCCTGCGAGTTCCGTCCCATCGTCTTCTCTTCCCGTGGAAGAGGAGGTGGAGGAGGAGGAGGAGAAGGAGGTCAAGTCAGGTCAGGTCAGGTCAGGCATTCCTCGAGAGCTCATCGTGAGAAGGCTACCGGGGGGGCGAGGCACATAAGCCCATAAGCCACAGCCCAGAGGCCCAAGTGTGAGCCAGCAGAGAACAACATTCAGAAAAGGCACATAAGCCTGGGATTCTGCAGGGTAAAAAACAACAATTCACACAAGGCCTCTCCTCCTCCTCCTCCTCCTCCTCTTCCTCCTCCTCCTCCTCCTCGGCATAAACGCCGTAGAGGGACTGGAGGACGGCGTAGCACAGCAGGAGGAGGAGGAGGCGGAGGAGGAGGCGGAGGAGGAGGCGGAGGCGGACGCGGAGGTGGTGGAGGAGGAGGAGCAGCAGGAGAAGGATCAGGCGGCTAATGACGATCCTACGAGGTCTTTCCATCGCCATACCAACACGTCACTGGAAATGGCGCCCCAACCGCCGTCCATGACCTGGCCAGAGAATGGGTCGGCAGCGGCGCCAGCTGGGTCGCATAGAAACAAACTCCGAGGACCACGAACAGCAGGATGACGCTGAAAAACAGAAATATCAGCGGCAGGGACCGCCAGACAACGTCAATCAAGACCTTGCGTCGCGGCCGCGATGGGTCACGAGAAGCAAGGTCACCTGCCCCCTCGTTCTCCCCCCCTCCTCCCTCCCTCCCTCCGCCCCCTCGGCCTCTCTCCTCCTCCTGCCTCCTCCCTTTGCCTCCTCCCTCCTAACCTCGCCCTCCATCCTACAGCCGATCTGCTACCATCAGCGGCACTGAATGAGGTGGTACGAGCCCGCTCTTGGCCCCCAAAACGCCCGGGACACGAGGCGCGCTCGAGGATCAGCTGCGGAGGGACCCGGAGGCAACGGGCCCCGTCTAAACGTGAGCTATTCCCCATTCCGTGAAGCCCGACGCTGCGAAACACGCGCCATCGCTCGGACGTCCATTCCCCGTGCTTGGCTCGGCGTCGTGCGCATACTGACTACCTGCCAGACCACCCCAGCCTAACCCGAAGACCCGAATTTCGGGTTGGGGGGGGTACGGGTTCCATCTGTGTTTTTCCAGTGCTCCCCGACCCCCCCCCCACTAGAAATGCACGGCAAATTGAAGCCTTCGGGTTGGGTTGGGGCGGTTTGGTGGGTGGTGACGTATTGCTTCGCAAGATGATCCAAGATGCTCCTCGCCAAGAAAAAATGCACACGCCCGAGCGACGCCAAGAACAGCTTCAGCATCGCAAAGCGACTCGACCGACGCCCAGGACCCGCCTCGTTCTGCGGCACCGCTCGAGCCGCAGCGGCCCGCGAGGCCCAGGGAGTCCCAGGGCCCGAAAGCAACCACACGACGCCCTGGGTGAAGCACTTGCGACGCCAAGACTTCAGGATTCCAGCGTCGTGCGTGTACCTGCTCCCTCGGCCTCAGCGATCCCGCCTCCCTCCTCCCCTTGCCTCTGTAGCACATCGCGCGGAACTTCCTGGCGATTGGGTGTGACGAAAAACGCTGTCAGGAAAAAAAACGACTGGCTGGCATGGAACATCACACGTTTCCTTATGCCAACCATCAGGCATTGAAAAACGTGTGATGCTTTTCCCCTTGCCTCCGGCTCCTCCTCTAGAATCTAGTGCCCTCCCAGATGGGGTCAGAGAGATGGGGTCTGAGGATCGCGCCGCATCCTCGGTGCATCACCGATGCATCGGCGATGCATCCGCGACGTCGGCGGTGAATCGGCGCCGTCGGAGTGGAAACAAATCGGGCTCCACATCGACCCGCATTGGCCATGCATCGGTGATGCGACGCGATCCTCCGACTCCATGCGCTCAGACACCATCTGGGCGACCTAGAACCCAAATCCCGGCATCATGATTTGTTCATTACGGGCAACCCGTATTATAAGGAAGCGTGTTAAGGATGCAATGGCCTTGGATGGCCATGTTAACGTTTTCCGAACGAGGTTGACCAGTGAAAGTAGCCAAGGATGGGCCGAAAGGGCAAGGATGCAAGGGTTAGGTTGCTCATCCTTCCTATGCGGATGACTGTACGTCGACCCCAAGAGGTCTCGACCAAATTCCCCAGGACCAACTGTTCATCCTGAGTCGTTGTCCGAGGGCCCAGGAGGGCCCCCAGAGGCACTCGGACCCCATCTGGGAGACCGCACCGCGGCCGAGCACGGCGGCATAACTCGAGGACCCTGCTGTTCTTCCCCACATGCTTCGTGGGGTTCTAGTTTTCTTCCCTGCCGCGCCGCACCCGCGTCTCACCCGCACACCTCCCCTCCTCCCTCTTCTTCCTCTCCTCACCCGCGCTCAACACATGCACGGCAAGTACATGACACACGCGTCTACATACAGCCGCACGCATGCAAACATTCGCACACAACACGCATACACACCATACAACGCTAGTGCGCGCCTCGCGTGTTCACTGCATCACACATCCACGACGCGTGCGCCACATAGTGGGCACCCACATAAGACACGTCCCGATGTGGCCGTTCCACAGTCTGCAATTCTAAGTGAGAGTGAGTCGTAAGTCTGAGTGCGAGTGATTCTGATTGTGAGCGACTCTGAATGCGAGCGAGCCTCAATCGAGCGGATCTGCGTGTGGACAAGGCTGGGCGTGAGGAAGTCTGAGTGTGAGTGTGTCTGAATGTGAGTGGGCCTGAGTCTAAGTGAGGCTGAAGATGAGGTCTGAGTTTGAGCGAATACCTGCATAATGGGTCTGAGCGTGAGTGAGTCCGAGTGTGAGTCCGAATCTGGGCGTGAGCGAGCCTCAGCGTGAATGAGCCTGAGCATGGGTGAATCGGAATGTAAGTGATCCTGTGTGTGCGTGCGAGAATCAGGAAGAGGAGGGGGAGGACGGGGAGGTGAGGCGGAGGCGTCCAAATAAAAAACCCTGGGGTGCTGACGCAAGCGCCTCGTTCGAGACATCCTTCCATCTGCTCGAGCGCACATTCGCCCTTCCCTCTCTCCTCCTGTTCCGCCATCGCCCCCCCTTCCTCTTCCATCTTCCTCCTCTTCCTGCTGGCGCCTCGCAGATCCTCACGCCTTGCCTTGCCATAACAGTCAGCGCGTCGCTCGAGACATCCTCGCAATCTGCGCTGAAAGCGCAACACGTCCAGGCCACCCAGCAAGCAAACCGCCCGAGGCGTCCCCACAATCTGGGCCCGACAGATGACGTCCCCGCCCCTGGCGGCTCCCCTTTGGGGTGTCCAACTGCCACGCCTGCCATCTCGCGGTGGGCACTGGATCATCGACAACAAAGTCTGGGATGGGCGAAACAGGCAAACCGCCTGAACGATCCCCACCATCGGGGCGCGACTTCTGGAGTGTCCTGACCCCTCGCGGCTCCCCTTTGGGGTGGCCACTTGCAACGCCTTAGCGCCTTATATGAAGGGGCCCTGGGACACACACACACACAAAATAGAACAAATAACAAGATATCTTCTGGGTCTGTGTCTTCCCCCCCCCCCCCACACTTCCCATATGTTCGCACAGCTTCCTGGGAATCGACGATTCATTGTGTCCGTGTGCTTTTTCTGTTCCTGGTTATAGAACCGCGTGGGGGGACCGAGGCAAGCAAACCGCTTGGAGCGTCCCCGCAATCTGGGCGCGAGCGGGGCCCAGGGAGGCAGCCCCGTGGCGACTCTCCCCGGGGGAGTGCTGACACGAGCGCCTCACCCGAGGCGTCCTCACACTCTGGTCCAACAACAACATAGGGAAGACAACTATGCATATACACCGAGTCTGGCCAGGCCCATCCTGAGCCCAGGATCGGTGCATACGCCCTCTTACCTTGGCCAGGTATATGCGCCGATCCTGGGTCAAGGATGGACGTTGTCAGGAGCGGTGCATGTGCATAGTTCTCTTCGCCCGAACACCCTGGTTCAACAACAACATCAAAAACAACAACAACATACACCCCAACATCAACAACAACAATACCAACAACAACGACGACAACTGCAGCCACAACAACAACAACAACAACAACAACAACAACAACATCAGCGACAACAGCACCAAAATCAAAAAAAAAACAACAACGACGACTACGACGTTAACAACAACAACAACAACAACACCAACAACAACAACAACAACAACAACAACAACAACAACAACAACAACAACAACAACCACAACTACAACACCGGCACCAACAATAACAACAACAACACCACCAACAACAACAACACCACCACCACCATCACCACCACCACCAACAACAACCACCACCACAACACCACCAACAACAACAACCACAACAGCAACAGCAACAGCAACAGCAACAACAGCAACAGCAACATCAACAGAAGATGTTGGAGGGAAGCGACAGGCAAACGGCCTGAGACACCACCACAAACTGGACGCCAGTTGGGGAGTGCCCCCCCCACCCCTGGCGGTTCCCCCCTCTCTGGGAGTGCTGAAACCAGCGCCTCGCCTGAGACATCCGAGCAGTCTGTTCCCAAAGCAGGGGATGCTGGGGCAGAAACAGGCAGCCCCCCTGGGACATCCCTGCTATCTGGGCGCGAGTTTGGGAGTGTCCCCACCCCTGGCGCCCCTCCCTCTCATGGGAGTGCTGAAATCAGCGCCTCGCCTGAGACATCCGAACAATCTGCTCCGAAAGCAGGGGATGTTGGGGGGCACCGCCTGAGGCATCCCCACAATCTGGGCGCGAATCCTGGAGTGTGCTCGCCCCTGGCGCCCCCATTCGAGAGTGCTGCAACCAACGCCTCGCTCGAGACATGCTCACAATCCGCGTGTGTGTGTGACTGGTTATGAATATTGATGAGTGTGAGTGGGGAGGTGATGCGACTGAGTCTGACTGAGTCTGTATCTGAACACGTCTGGGTGAGGAAGTGATGTGGCTGAGTCTGCGGGAGGAAGAGTGAACCTGCAAGGGCCCCGTGAAGAAGAGTGGGTCTGTGATGGATCCCCTGATGGGTGCGAGTGATCGGAGTACGAGTACGTGAGTGATCTGAATAAAGAGAAGGAACATGAGGAGAAGGAGAAGGATGGAGAAGGAGGAAGTCCAGATAAATCTAAGTAATACCAAAGATCCCACCTTAGGATGTGAGGTATGATGTGCACGTCCAGGCGATGCTAAGGAGCCCGTTCCGCCTCCACCTCGCACCTTCCCCTCTCGCCCGATACCTGAGCGCGAGCGCGGCAGACCTGCCGCTGGTGCTCCTCGAAGCGCTCCCTGTTCTGCCGCGCGGCCCCCGCAAGCACTTCCTTGCGGGCGCGGCCGTCGTCGTCGTCGTCGTCGTCGTCGTCGTCGTCGTCGTCGTTGTCGCAGGAGAGCCAGCTCACGGGGGGACGCATGAAGCTTGGATCGATGACATGTCCCCCATGGATCGACGATTGGCCCCCGATACCAGGCGGCACGATCGTGCAGCGAAGCTGTTATCGTGAGGACGAGGGGGAACGACACGAGGGGGGGGACCAGCTCAATGGCGGGAAAATCGTGCTCCGATCGGCGACACGTTGCCCATGGATCGACGATTGGCCCCCGATACCTGGCCACACGGCCGCGCCACGAAGCTGTTGCCGTGAGGGCGAGGGGGAACGACAGGAAGGGGGGGGGACCAGTTCGAGGGATCGAGTTTGGCTCGGCGATGCGTCGCCCATGGGTCGACTATCGACGATAAACCCCGACACCTGGCGGCACGGCCGTGCTGCAAAAGTGCCACCGTGAGGACGAGGGTGAACGGCAGGAAGGGAGAAGACCAGCTCCAATTCGGGAACGCATCGAGCTTGGACCGGCGCTGCATCGCGCAGGGGTAGGCCCCCGACACCTGGCGGCACGGCCGTGAAGCGAAGCTGCTACCGTGAGGACGCGGGGGCAACGACAGAACGGGGGCGGGGAGCCCGCTCAGGGGTGGCGGGGGACATCGCTATCGCTCTAGGACCGCTACCTTCGCGCTTCGCGCTCCGCGATTCTCTTCGCGCTTCCGCGCCGCCGCCCCTGGAACAGCATGAGGGATTCCAGCCTCGCTCTGAAATCGCACAGGCCGCGAAGCGAGGAGGAGGATGAGAAGGAAGAGGAGGAGGAGGAGGAGGAGGAGGAGGAGGAGAAGCTGGAGGGGGAGGAGGCGGCGAGGAGGAGGAGGAGGAGGAGAAACTGGAGGAGGAGGAGGAGGAGGAGGAGGAGGAGGTGGACGAGGAGGAAGAGGAGGAGGAGGAGGTGGAGGAGGAGGAGGAGGAGGGGCGGGCGACCCAACTTCGCACCCTCGTGGTGGCCCTTGGCCTGTGGATCGACGCCTGGCGCCCGGTGCTGGGCGGCGCGGCCGCGGCCGCGGCACCTCCCGTGCCGCGAAGCTGATGCCGAGAGGACTGGGGGGGGGGGCGACCACAGACTCTCGGCACCGCGCCGCCCAGCGACTGGGCGGGCGAGGGGCAGCCTGGCACGTGTCAAGACTCACGGTGGTCGGCGGTGGGCGAGGGGGGGACATGAGAGGGAGAAGGCCCTCCATCCTCACGATGGCCCGCCTCGTTGTCTCCGTGTGCTGCCCGGCAGAACTGGCGTCTGGGTCGCACGCCGCGCGAGACGATGGCATCCAGGGAGCGGCCTCGGCGGCGTGACGAAGAGGTTCCAGCACCAACCCTCGGAGGTGAAGATCTGCATCCGTTCGATCTACACTTGCATCCGCAGGTCTACGATCGGCGGCGAGCGAAGGGGGCAAGTGTGATGGATAAGGCCCTCTCAGAAGGCGGCGGGGCTTCTCAGAAGGCCTCGGGCCTTCTGAACAGTCTTCAGTGTCCTCAAGGAAGGCTTGGAGACACTTCTGGGAAGGCCTGTGGACTTCTGAGCCTGCTGAGGAGGCCTTCCCGTTCTCACTTCACACCTGGGCTCGCCGCCGAAATTGGGCGGCCAGTTCGTATCAGAGATGGTTTTCCTTCTGGGCGCCGCCCTGCAGGCCCTCCAGAGCGCTGCAAGAGGGCCCTCAAAGGCCCCCAAGACGGCGCAAGAGGGCTCCCAATCGTCGAACAATCGGTCCAAGACGCCCAATGTCGGGGATGGACAGACCCACCTTTAGTAAAACGTGGTTTAGTGAAAACGACCTGAGGCCCAAACTTGGCGGGCGCAAGCCTGGAAAATAACGGCCACGGCGCCCTCTCGAGAACCGAAGACGGACAATTCACTAATCGACGTGTCACTGTTGGGGGTTCTGTCCAGCCCCGACAATGTGGCCTTCTGATGGCCCAAGACGCCTCTCAAACGCCCCAAGCGTCCGCGTCCACCAAGAGCCCTCTCAAGAGGGCCCCCTAGATGCAAAAAGGAATGGATGTCCTTAGGTGTTTCAAGGATTCCAGGCGTTCTCGCCTTTTCGTCTTCCCCGCGCTCCAAGACGGCCCAAGGAGGCCCCCGATAGCACCCACATACGGCCCCAGACGCCTCCAGGAGGACATCCCCCCAAAAGAGAGCTCCCAAAGCGGACCCTGACGAGGCACCCGAACGGACACTTCAGCTCTCGACCCCGAGAGGCCCCCAGAAGGCCCCCCAAAGCCCACAAGAGGCCTCCAAGAGGCTCCAGGAGGTCCCGGAAATGCTGCCAAGAGGCCCGCGAGAGGCCTCCCAAGAGACCCCCTCCCGAGACGCCTCACGACGACGACGCCCAAGCCGACGACTCCTCGAGTATTTTTTTCTCCCCCCCGTATCAAGCATCCTCCTTCTCGCGTATCCTCCTCGAGTACAGTCGGGCCGCTGAAGAAAGGAACGCCAAATAAGGAACGAAGCCCCTTCTTGGCCCTGTAAGCGCCTCCCTGCCCCAGGAGGGCAAGAGGAACAGCACTGGAGGAACCTAAGGAACATCGAGGCCCTTCCGAACCCAAACTGCTCCTTATTTCAGCGTCTTGACTGTATCCTCCTCGAGTATCCTCCTCCTCGAATATTTGTTCCTTCCCCTCGTACAACGTCCGCCACGGAGGGGGAGGCCGGGTCCCTGCAGGGAAGAAGGGTAATCAAAGTGGTGGGTCGGCCGCCGATCGGGCACCGGACGACGACAACGGCGACGACGAGGACGACGACGACGACGACGACGACGAGGACGACAACGACGATAACGACGACGACGACGACGAGAAGGATGAGGCCGGGGACGACGACAATAAGACGACGACGACAAAGACAAGACGACGATGAGGACGACGAGGACGAGGACGAGCACGACAACAACGACCACGACGACGACGAGGACGGTGACGACGACGACGACGACGAGGGCGACGGCCTGTCTCTGGAGACCTCTGCTGAAGGCGTCTGGAGGCCCTCCGAGGCCCTCGGCGACGATGACGACAACGACGACGACGAGAACGACGACGAGGACGACGACGAGGAAGACGACGACAAGGACGAGGACGACGATGGGGACGAGTATGAGGACGACGATGACGCCGACGACCACGACGACGACGACGACGCCGACAACGACGGCAGCAACAACGACGTCGGATGACAATAACGACGACGACGACGACGACGAGGACGAGGGACGAGTACGACGATATCGACGACGACGACGAGAGCAAGGAAGACGACGACGACGACGACAGGACGACGGACGACGACGACGACGACGACGACAAAGGACGACAACGAAGACGAAGGCGACGGCGACGACGACGCCGACGACAACAAGGACGACAGCCGCCTCTGAAGGTCTCCAGAGATCTCCAAACGCCTCAGGAGGCTTCCGGCTGCCTCTGGAGGCGCCTGGAGGCCCTCCGAGGGCGCGAGGACGAGGGCGAGGACGAGGGCAAGGACGACGACGAGGACGACGAGGGCGACGACGACGACGACGACGAAGACGACGACAACGACGACGATGACGATGAGGACAACGAGGACGATGGCGACGAAGACCACGACGGCCGCCTCTAAAGGTCTGCGGTCTCTAGAGGCCTCGGTAAATCTTTGGAGGCCTCCAGAAGCGCCTGCAGGCCCTGCGAGGCCCTCAGAAACGACGACGACGGCAACGACGATAACGGCGACGACGACGATGTGGACGAGGACGGGGACAGGGACGACGATGACGACGATGACGACGACCACGTCGACGACGACGACGACGATGACTGCGACAAAGACGACGACGACGACGACCACGACGACGAGGTACCATAAGGGCCTCACAAGAGGCCTCTGAATGTCCCGCAAGGGGTGCCAGAAGGGCCTCCCAAGAGATGCTATAAGGGCCTCCCTTACGGTCTAAATTAAAGGGCCCCCAGAGGTGCCATAAGGGCCCCCCAAGAGGTGCCATGAAGGCTCCCCAAAAAGTCGATTGAGGACCCGCAAGTGGGCACCCTAGAGCTCTGGAGCTTAGAAACCGTAAACTCAGGAGTTGTAAGTTTCGAAGCTCCGGAGTGCAACGGGACCTGAGAAGTTGAAACGTTAAACTCTGGAGTTTTAACATTTCACACTCTGGATTCCAATGTTTTTCGGGGAGCTCGGACAGGGGGGGGCAGCTGGGAGGAGGGGGCGCCATCGAGCTTGAATAGCCGATACCACGCCGATGGACCGGCGGCACTCGAGAACGTTTCTGGGGGGGGGGGGCCAGCTCGGAGGGGGGCGGGGCCATCGAGCTTGAATCAGCGATACAGCGCCGATGGACCGACGGCACACAAGAACGGCACCCTCGCACCGTGCTGCGTGAGCGCAGAAGCGACAGGGTCTAAGGCGAGATGACACAGGGACCTCGCGCCGCGGCTGCGGTGGGCCGCCAAATACGGCACAGCAGCAGGGGGCAGCTCGGAGTGGGGAGCATCGGACTTGAATCGGCGATGCATCGCCCATTAATCGACGACACACGAGGACGTTTGTGGGTAGGCTGGTGGGAATGCGCGAAACGTCAAACATGTCATACCCTCCTTCCGCATCATCCCCCTCCTTCCACATCATCCCCGTCCGCACCTCCTGCTGGGAGGCCGAGGACGGGGAGGGGGAGGAAGGGCACGAGCGTGCGTAATTCACCGGCTGGGGGAGAGAGGGCGTATACGAGAACGGCACCCGCAGACCGTACCACGTGTAGACTGTAGACTCCCTTCAGGCCCCGCTCCGGAGCGGCACGGTGCTCAATACTTCGGCGCCAGGGGTTGGGAAACCAAATGGTATCGATACAGCTACTCCCCGGACCTTTCTCGGGGTGAGGTCTGACGAGAATTTCGAGGAGAATCCAGCAGTGGCGACGAGGGCCTCCCAGGAGGCCCCAAAAGGGCGAAAACGCATGAAAAGTATTGGTATGGCTACAATGCGGACGCGGCCGCAAGAAACCCTCGCAAGAAACCCAACTGTGAAAACCCGCGCGCGAGGTGCACCTGAGGGCGTATCAAGGGCCGATTACCCATCGGACCCCTGTCGGCGATCAAGGGCCGATTACCCATCGGTCGGAAGAAAGGGGTAGAAACATGAAATAGGAAGCGTTGAAAATTAATCAGGCTCCGTCCACCCCCTAAGGAGAACGGAAAAGGTGAAGCCACACGATCATCGAAGTAGGAAGGCGCTTAAAGTGGACTGGAATCTGGGAATCCCAAAGTCGCTACCTTCAACGACCGATGGGTATGGGTCGATGCGCCCCCCCCCCCCCCATGGATCCCTCAAACATACCCCCGCCCAACGCTGCGCCTGACTCGGGCTTCGGCCTCTGCGCCGTACAACTCGGGCCTCTGCCGAGCGCCCGTCTCTCGAAGGATGCCCGAAATGGGTAAATGGGTACGGAAAGAATGGGTACAATGCCCAACAACAAGTGTTGTCCCAAACCAACAGCGGCCGCTG